ATCGTGCGATAATAATGTATACCATTAGTGCGAATATATATATATATACATATATATATATACCGAGGGCGAGGAAGACGCCGCGTGCGTGTACGTCTTGGAGGAACGGCGCGCCACCACCCTGCCCTTAGACTCGAGGGCCATGTGCGCGCGATAGAGAAAGGTGAAGGGCGTTTAACGGTCGGAGCGTACGCGTTTTTCGGGCTCCGACGCACCAGCTGATCACCGCTCTCTAGCTATTTCGGGACCATGTGCTTCCCGCGCTTTTTCTACGGCCGCCCACCGGGCTAGACGATTTCTCATTTGCTTCTTTTTCGTACCCTTCGAGAGTTCGTTGACTTATATCCTTGAATTTTTCGTGACGTATAGTTTGAGACTCGTGTGTAGGATATTCATTTGCGTGACTCGAAAATTGTACGAGAATAGAAATTGGAGAGCCTATCCTTTGTCGAGTAGTTTTAAAATATTTTTTTTATAGGCTAATAAAAATGTGAATTATAAAATTTATTCTGAAGAAACTCGCATTAATATTAAACATTATTCGTATCAAAATTAACAAACGAGAAAAAAAAAGTTTATATACCTACTAACATCCTCTCGTTATGTATTATAAAAATCTTCTTTATGTGGACAAACATGAATTTCAAAATCTATTCTGTCAGTTTCAATACGCACATTAATTTAAAAAAAAATTCTAAAAAATTTTTTTGTGAGGAACGCCCATACACGCGTGTTTTTTTTTTTTTTTCATTCATATTCATGTGCGAGACGATGCCTCGAGCGTAATTTGCCGTCGGCTATCGAATCGGCCGCGAGAGAGGTAAAGCAGACCGAGAGCGAGATATGAGGGAGCGCGAGATATATCGAGATCGAGATATCATTAAAAAGCCAGAGGTCGAGTGATCTAGTCTGGCGAATATTACGGGGTCGAATAGATGGTGGAGAGTTGATGAAGTGGCGACGAGGGGTGTTACGCGAGGGAAGTACGTTGCACCTTACCGGGGAGGCACAGGTGCCACAGCTGTTTCAGCAAGTGCAACGAACGCCCGTAGAACACGCGGACATTATTAGAACTGTTACAGACGGCGGACGGGGCGTAGGGAAAGGCGCGCAGCCAAGGGGTGCATAACTATTCGACTAAAACGGACGCTCGGTGAGGTGTTGCTTTTTTTTTTTTACGACGCGACCGTTGAAGCAATTCGCGACAACAGGTTGCATGCACGTGCGACGCCATCTTCTTCATTATAAGAGCTTTTTATACTTAATTGCTTTTCACCTAAGTAATTGCAGAGGTGCGGAAACGCGAATGTATTCGCGAATGAATTGAAATTGAAAACATAATAGACCCTTTTCACAATTATTCTTGATTGCAATCAATTTTCTCTTGACAAAACGAATCTATTTGAATGCAAATGGGATATCAATATTAAACACAAACTCAAAACGAATTATTTTTGGATATCGCCGGAATCATTGCGATCTTTTGTATAGCACGATCGGCCGCGCTTCGAATTTAACGCTTCCGTTTCACACGCCCACGCACGTTTGATTCGCAGTTAGTCGTCCAACGCGTGTATAATATCGTGCGCGTTGCATGTGCGGAGCAACTTTGTCCAAAGTTCAATTTAGCCGACGACGACGACGACGATGGTGGCAGGCGGGTGGGCGGACGGGGAGGAAAGTTTTGTTCTGCGCAGGAAGCGTAGTTCCGGCTCTCTCGGTTCCGCCCATAACGGTGACGGTGTGAACTTCGTGGATCCCGGCGATCGCCACGGCGGGCTTTTTCGGCGGGATTTGATTGCCGGTGCCGCGGTAATTAAACGGGCGATCATTAAGAAGCCGCCTTCCGCCTGTGTACATTAACAGCGAGCGATGAGATCAGACGCGAGTTTGATCTCCCGAATAGATATTCGCATGTCGGGATGTAAAAAAATCTCGATGGATGACAATTTGTATCGTCCTGTTATTTAGCTTTGATCAAAGTTGCGCGAGATTTCGAGAGAAAGGAATTGTTTCTTTGGAGAGGGAAGCTCATCGTAGCCTCCTTTTCTCTTTGGGTGATATTTTAATGTATGCGATGTATGGTATTTTTAGATTGTCCACTTCCGACCTAACCCACACAGCATAATTATAGTTACAACGATCGATGAACTGTTCTTCTGTCATCTTCGTTTGATACTGTTTGTCGACGATGAACTGTCAGTGTCAAATCTAACGATAGTAGTTAAAAAAGAACTAAATGGATCTCGATTGCGAGTGATAATTGTCGATTTTACGGTTTTAATTTTTTCGTCGATTAATATTGCTCAGCGACGTGATTAAAACGCTTACCTATAAGAGAGAAAGAGAGAAAATGGAGAGTCGACTTATATATTTCTTATTATTTCTGAGTATTCGATACATGAGTCAATATTTCTAACTTCGTTTCAAAAAGTGATCGATGTTTTAATTTCACCCATCATTGACCTCAATGCTCAAGTCGCTCTAACGTTAATAAGTATTCCGGCTGTTAGAAGTTGAGGAAACATGGCACATTAAGTTCGCCGATTCGCATTGTGGATATAACTTTAAATGGCCATTTTATCCTTTCTATCGCAGCACGCGCGTATTTTTCTCGCCTTAAAATGCAACCGTAAAAGAAATCGGTATCTTTGGTGGCATTGTTGTTAATTTGTCATAGCGTGTTACGCAACGCGCAATATTGCGGCGTATCGTGTAATATTTTTCATCCATTTTCTTATTCATTTACCTATGAAAGATTTAGAATTTATACTTTATACATGATCTATAGTTTGTAACAAAATTCCATTTGTAATATCATATATCACGCATTTATATGACAAAAAAGTATTTGAAGAATTAAAATAAAGACATACAAAATATATAAGGCATAATACATATATATACAACACGCATATAAGGATATATAAAGTGACAAATAGATTTTTGTCTTGTATAAATTCCGTCTTCAATTATAAATCATCTATAAAGTAGATTTAAATAATGGATTTAATTAGGGCGTAAGATGATTGCGATCTTTATTGCTATAAAGTAAGAGCAGACGAAATAAACGTGAGCATTATACATTATATATAAAAATACACAATAAATAATGATAATATATAATATTCTTGTGTAATTTTATACTTATTATTCATGTAATTTTATTTTTGTCATATATTTTTTGTATAATGTATAAAATTCTTTTTTTTGCGTTTCCTCAAGTAAATTGATTATAATCACTTTCGAGTCTTCGTCGACATTTCGGCAAACCCCTTCGGCTCCTGAAATCATGACGACTCGGAGGATTCTCTTGTCATATCTCAGGTGGGGGCGTCGTGGTACTAGTGCGCGGTACAAGATCGGGAAAGGGAAAAGAGAGGGGCCTCTTTTTCATCGTACCTCTCTCTCTTTCTCCGTCCTTTTCTCTCTTTCTCTCCTCTTCCTCTGTTTCCCCCCCGCACTAAACGCCTCCTGATCACTCCTTCTTTGTCCCTCTTGCTCACGGCCCACTGATATCGCGAGAGGTCGCGGCATAAGGGAGAGGGAGAGACAGGTAAGCAGCGTCGTTCCGCCGCGGCACACGAAGGCCCCAGGTGAGAGGGAGAGGGCCCCGCGCGAGACCGACACGGAGGAAGAGCGAGAGAGAGAGAGACAGAGAGGAGGTGAGAGTGAGAGGGGCATCTAAAGCAAGCGACTCGGCGGTGGAGGGAGGTTGGCGAAGCGGAGGTGAAGCGCGACCGGCCCTCTCTACTCCAGGGGCCCAGGCTAGTCCAGTCCGGGACAGCACGCCTCCTGCTGCACGCTCCACGAGGTAGAACGACGAACGGTAGACACGACGACGTTTAGGACCGGTACGACGTTACGCGCGCGCGGGCCCAGCTTTTCGTACGTATCGAGGACTCCCGGCTTCTCTCGCCCTTCATCACGCATCGACGCACCGCGCCGTGTCTCGTCACGCATTTCGGTGACCGCGAAATTTCGGACTCTTACGCGGGGGAGTATAGGTGCGCGAAAAGGTGTCCTCCCGGTTAACTATCTTCGGTGCCGTCGCTTCGACGCCTCTTTTGTCACTCGGTGACAAAAGGGATAGGTGCGACTTCTCAAACATCAGTCGATCTTAAGGCGTCATTCCGGTGTATTCTTCGACAGTACCAGGGCATCGATTTGTGCACAGGGGATGGTATCGTGATTCTTCGATAGAATTTTTTAGAGTCCCGAAGCGTATGGAATATTCGACGTAGATCGCAGGACTCTGTCTTCGAGATATCTCGATCGACGCGAGTCCGCGACTATTGCGAGTGACGTTTGGCTGCGCACCATCAGTTTGATCTCAACGAGAAGTAATCCTGGCGCGTATTTCCAACTCGCGACCGATCGCGACTGAACGATCGTCACCCCGTCGAAAGTCATAAACGATACATATCGGAGCTCGCGATTCGGTCTCTCTCGGAGCAAGACGACGACACATCGCCGTCCCCACCTACGGCTACCACGCGTTCAGCCACGCGATCAGCGGGACCAGCGATCCGGAAGGTTTCGCACGGCAACGGTGATCAACGAGCCGCGCATTCTTAATGGACACCTGATCTACGGTGATTGACCACGTCGCCCGAGCCACGACGTCATCAGGGTGACGATTATCTCGTCAGAATCCTGAAGCTTTCATCCCTGGATTTCGACGAGAGGTACTCTCGTACTTTTCCGACGAGCTCGATCGCGAGTTGAATCTATTTGGAATCGAAATAGTCTTTGGGTAGTGTTGTGACGATTTACACTTGTGTGGGACCTGTGCGGGGATGAGAGACCTCTGTAAACAGTGTGACGGACCGCCCGAACGGTGAAGTGAGCCGCCGCGAGGTGTTTAGTGAGCGCGATTCGAGAGACTTTAACGCCCGGCGAGGAGATAATCGAGGGATATAACTAAACGGCAAGAACGACCGCGACGACGACGACGACGACGACGACGACGACGACGACGAAACGACGACGACGGCTATTCGTATTCAGGTAAGGCTCGTCTGATAAACCGGACTCGAGGTATATACTAAAGTATGAGTAAGAGTAAAGTGACTCCTCCCTTTGACGCTACCACAGAGAACTGTCATTATCGTTGACCGGTGATAATTTATTGCGGCAGATTGCAAAACTGTCGCGAGAGACGCAGATTACTTGCGCGAGATCAATTTGTCTTGCTGTTATTTGTCACGTTTATTCAGGAACGAGTTATCCCGTGCACGCACGAGATATATTTATGGATTAAAACAAAAAGATTGACTTTATTATTACGGAAGAATTGCTCTTGTTTTCAGTGATAAATAGGAGATGAATGGATTAAGAAACTTTCATTAACTCTTTCGAAAATGTTATCAAGTTTCATGAACAAGATATATGCGAGATGGAAATTGAAAAACGTTATAATTTCTTCATTCTTATGTACATAATAAATATATATGGTTAATAAGTTACATAGATTTGTAATATATATTTATATATATACATATGAAATAAGGATTAAAGAATATCTATTTCAGAGTAAAAGACATTAAAATGACATATTAATTTACAATTATCATTTTCACGTTAGTCGAGATGCTTCTAAATTACAGCATACATCACGCAAGGCTAATAAATCTTTCCCTAGACATTTCCTAAATAGTTTTCAATCGATGCAAACTAATTTACCGTTCGGGATGTATAACGGGTCGACTCGTCATAAATCGCGTAAATCATATGCGCATTCCGCGTTCGAAAATCGTGAATGGGGCAGCACTCTACGGTCACCAGCACGCAAATCACGCATACATACTAACACACAAATGCACACATGTGCGCGCGTGACCCGTGTACTGACGCACGCAGCAGGTTACACTCTGTGTTTACATTCGCCAATTACAGATAGTCGTTCGTACGCAATAATGATAGATCTACCGGCGTGGCTAATGATTAGCGAGTTGCTCAGCGCAAAAAGTGACGAGCATGATTTTCGAACGAAGAGTACGATCCGCGAAGCCATCGGCTCGATTGTGTGAAGACACCGAGAGAAATAGAGAAAAAAAAGAGAGAAAGAAAGAGAGCAACAATACAGAGATGAAAAAATAGCTAGGTGTAGTTCTTGTTTTGGTGACCGTTAGATGTGATATATTTTCCTGACAATGAAATTGAGAAAAACAATTTTTCTAGCATCGATAATTAGGAGCGATATTTTTACACAGTCTTGACGACAATTCTGAAACATTGCATTTGACGTTTCGAGAAAGAACGTCGATGTGATCTTTCCAGATACACATGCAGCGAGTATCAGGAAGTGAGGCAAATGATAGATCGCACTCCTTCCGATATTCCCCGTCGGCAGCGAACCTCGCATTCCGATCGCTTGCTTCTCTTTCTAGGATTCTATTCGCGCGATTTTACACGCAACGAGATGTTACGTATGTATACATAGATCCAATATAAACGCAAATAAATTAGAGATCGTCGTGCCGCAATTATTCAGTCAGGCATCTGTAAAGAATGCGTTACCGCCGGCATTATAGGAACGTTATTCAAACAAAATTAACTCTATTAATTTTAAGACGACCGGACTCTCGTACCTCGCCGATTCCAGCCCGAGCTCTCCTCGTTCGTTTGCCTTGTTATGCCATCCAAGTTATCGCTTTCGTCGAACTAGATTATTGCGCCGATAAAATACAAAGAATCGTGCGCGCACGCGCTACTTCCTACTTCGAGTAATCCGCCGATTAATCGACCGGCTCATAAATTGACCTGTCAAGATCCTTCATCGATAAAACGACACGCGAGTCGTTTGACGCGATATTTCGGCAATACGATCAGGATCGGTCGCGTATGACAGGGTTGATGGTCCGTCGTGCGTGTCCGAAGTGCGCTGACAGTTTTATTCGCTCATTAAGTACCCAATAATTTGGATCGACTACATAAATAAACGCGTGTATGAAGCCGAAAAATTTTCATCTCCGGACAACGACTCGAACTTCGCAATGTTCGAGAGGTTCGAGTCGACAAGTCGATATCTTTGCATCGGACGGATAAGATCGGGCCCGTTGATGCAAACTGGCCCCCTTTCTCATTATTCCAAAAAAATTCGTTTCTAATCGCGCACGCGCACGTACATGCACACACACACAGACGGCATCTGCCCCGCCATTTTCACCCTTACGTCTTCCACCCTGTAGAACGTTCACCCCAAGACAACTGCTCCTCCTTAGGGGCAGTTGCGGCGTCAGGTGGCACCCGTTAAAGTCGGCCGAAAAGTCGTTGGCGAGTCGAGGGAATACGAGGTGACAGTCGATAGCGGCGACGACGACCTCGTGTTGCCTTAATAACGGGCGAGGCCGTCATTAGAGGCCGATAATGACGCGTCATCTGTCAACAGCGACGATATATGTATCGCGATAATAGCGAAGAATGCTCCCGAGAGATTAATCTGTTGCATCTTAAAAAAGCGGGAGGGGACTTGTCTATTTTCTCCGATCCTCCTCCGAAACGAATAATAACTCGACGAAGAACCGACGACCCTTTCATGTCGATCGCGCGCATTCGTCAAGATTTCGATCTCTATATTTGAGAGATCGTTCGACGCGCATCTTACTCGACATTCTTTTGTTCGAGAATGGCATTGTTGTAAATCTGTTCGCACGTTGCGATCGCGGAGATAATATCCGTCAGCGCGGACTCGACGGAATCCCAAGCCAATCGTATTCAGGAGGGAGAGGAGAGAAGGACGATGACGGTTTGTCGCGCGGTCGTCATTATCCCAGCTGGACATCCGCATAATTTCCTACCGTCATTCCGCGTCTAAGCGTCTACAACTCATTCTCTCTACGAGGAGAAGGGAGGGCGCGGATCTCCATAAGTGCAAGTGGCTCGATCGAGAATTTCAATAGTTGCTCAACGTTCTTCGATGACGTCGCCTTCGAGACGGAGTTGCAACGTAAGGCGATTTTCATCATTAGCGCCAAACAAATGTCATTAACGCAATGCGAAATGAGTTATCTAATCACTCCGGTTGTTGCGCAACGGAGAGAAAATTTAATAATAATTAAATCTCGGGGAAAAAATTATTTTAAATCAAATAGTTATTTTTACAGCAGTTACCACAAGTAACTCTGTCTTCTTCATGTTTGTAATTCTGGAGAGTACTTTGATATTCTGGAGGGTTGACTTGAGATATATTGTGCGCGTGTCCTGGACATGTCGCATTCAGGGCACGAATCCGTCGCAACTTTCTCAGATGGCTTTCTCGCGATACTCGTCGTCCACGACGGATGCAGCGGAGTTTTCTATTTTTCGACGCGGATTCCCGCGTCTTTCGCCGCGCGGGGATCTCGATCGGGAATCGCGTCGGGATTCTCCGATGACTTTGCGAATCTATCTCGCTGCGCCCGTCCCGTGGTCCGATTGAGATAACGTTCATCTTCGCGAGAGGAAGTCGCTTGATTTTCAGTTGGAGTTAAGACAGTGAATCTCCGCTTCGCTGTGTGCAATTTCAGTTTCTAAGACTGTGTCACTTGCTCGATGACTATTTGTCCATTCTACACGTGGCACGTTCTCTGTTTTCTCAAAATTTTCTTCTTTCGAAGGCTACGATTGAACAGAATAATTTAAAACACTTTGCTCAGATAGAAATTTACGATGACTCACTTAGCAGTTATTGATATTTAATTTTTGTCTCTGGTTTAATTAAAAAAGTAAATAGAATTCAAAATTGATTATAAATACTTCGATGCTTTATAAAGATAAAATCATATTTAAAGATAATAAGAATATATACTAACGATTTTTATCTTATGTTCAGTAGTCGTTCTTCACGGACTTTATAATCCAGTTAAATGCGACAGTTAGCATGACAGTTTAAATGCGAATAGTTAATATGTCGCAAAGCTATAACAAAAAATTGATATATTTTTATTTTGTATTCTATTGAAAGAATTCAATATATCTACATATTTCTGATATAAACACTGATTGGATTTCTTATCCGATTCCATAAAAGTAAATCGATTTTACTTAATTTATAAAAATTGCAAATTTTGACTTGTAGATTCTACATCAAAAATCCATATTTAGACATGAAATTTATATCCTCAATATAATAAATTTATTTAAGAAATTTGGGCATTCTAATCAAAATCTACACTGGGAAAATCTTGGGAAATTTCTATGTGGATTATAATGTTGCAAAATGGACGGCCATTGCCGCAATCGCGTTCGCGGCCTAGTAACATTCCCCGTCTATGTAACGATCTACGTCCGCGGCTTTTTTTTGTTTATACAATATTTTTTACACGTGTGCGCTTGTGTAAGTATTTCGCGCGACCGAACGAAGACTCTACCTTGCTATTATCTATTTGCGCCATTATGTCTTCTATGCGGCGCGGAATGCGGTTTGGATATAATGATCTTGATTCAAAAACTCGATCCGTCCTAATGCAATCTGTCTGTCGATCCTTACCGCATCCAGATACGTCTATAATATTGAGCGATGTAGCGTTATCGTGTTCCATTTTATATCACGTTCGCGTAAGATTGTTCACTCGCGCGTATAAATAAAACGATCCAGTAACACTTGCACAATCTCATGTTTACACCATGATTATGACATTATGTAAAATTGGCGAACGAAAACTAATTAACGCTCAAAGTATACAAACAATTTACAGATTCATGATGGTATGTTATTTGAGCACACACAAAAAGTGCTGAATAATATTTCATCTAGATTATTATTTTCATATCATATATATATGTATATATTTGCAACAGATTTCGATGTGTAGGTAGGCAGTTTCCTCTTCTAATCAATCAGCTGTAATGTTTAGAATTACGGATAATTTACGAGCAACGGATATGACACGATATCGATCGCTGATGGTGGATCGATCGCGTCTGCTGGCCGATAGGCATCTAATTCATCGAGACCCGTTACGGATCCCCGGACTGTCATCGGTAAAAGAGCGGCGACAAGCCGGTCGGCCGCGATATCCAGCAAGATCTGAATGATGATCTACTCGATCGTGATGGTTTGCCTCGTCTCGCTCCTCTCGCATTGTGTTCATCAACAGAGATCGTCGGGTGGTTAATTGCGGAACGGCCCTCGTCGCCCGGCTGTACAGTTAACCGGACGGCTGCGCCGCGCCGCGTGATGCGCTCTCGCCGCATGCGGCGCCCAGCACGGAGCCGCATGCGTCTCCCGCAACTGCGCCGCGCGCGGGACGACTGCCCGTAGTACAGGTAGCTCTCTCGGATCTATTTATATAGTGCGCGCGGAGCCGGCCGGCGCTCTCTATACACGCTCGACGATCTCTCGGAGAGCGTGTTTGCAAATGCCGTGCGTGCGCTCGCCACACCTATCTATCTATGCGTATATATTCGCGAGCGAGTGCAGCAGCCTCCACCCGCGCGATCGTTCATCGCGAGAGTAGCATCTTAGATTCTCTTAGAAACCAATGGCTACGCCAATGTTGTCGACTTCTTCGACTTTTCATTCAACCGCCAATATTCCGGCCATTTAATCATCTTTCTCTACAACGGGTTATAATTACTATCCGCGATATAATTACTATCCGCGTAGAAAAATTTCTGGAATTTAATTGGAATCTAGACAGATTTTTTTTTAAAGAACCGTGGATCCAGTTTGGAGATCTGTGAGGAAGTGTAATATTTTAAAAACGCGATTCCAAGTGTGAGAAATTCAAGTAAATTCTTTTTGCTTTCTTGAATATATTTATAAAGATAATTTAAATATTCTGTCTTTTACATATATGTAGATAGAATTAGATTTTAAGATGCTAACATTTTTCTTATGATTAATAATCGACCTGTAGGCTCTGTGTCTAATTTGTGATTGAAATTGATACGCCATGAGCAATAAACAAAAAATATAAGTTATATTTTTTATTCTGTTAAGAGAATAGAGCTGATATAGAAATGGGATTTTTGAGATTCTATAAAATGATACTGATTTTATTTAACTTAATTTTCTTCTGTAATATGATGCGAATTTTTACATTTGTTTATATTTTTATTTTAAATCGAACCAAATAGTACAAAAATGGAATTACTTGGTACTTGGTATATATTTATGATAAATTAGATAATTTAAATATATATTCTAATTGTGTGTGTATGGAATCTGAATCTAGGAAAATCTTGCAAAAGTTTATGCGGGAACATTATAATGCAGATATGTTCTATTTTATTTCTTGCGTCTACATGGACGAGATTCATTTACAGCGTGACAGTACGATATTTCGAGGTCGCGCAGGCAATTGACAGGTGTGTCCCTTATGTTTTCTGAACGACTTGCGTGTGACATTTGTACTTAATATACGTTTTTGTTAATGTCGCGAAATGTTCGCGACTCATGAATCTTTATTACGCCCTGGTTCGCGAGCCCTGATCGCTCACAATCTCCTTTTTCGCGCGAAAACTCGTTTTATATATGAGAAAAAAAAACAGTCGGGCAACACCGGCCGGCTGGCCACCTGTGCGGTATGCAAATGCACAACGACTAATTTCTAATTCACTTCAACGTAAACGGTTCGGCCAGATGACGGCAATGCTGCTCGATATCGCGCAGCGGGCGACTCGAATTGAAACTGGCGCGCCGACATTTCCTGAATTTTCGTCCTAATCAAAGATAACGACCGTTTCGTTTCATAAAACGACGTATAGCAACCGGCCATTAACCCCCGTGAATGTTTATAGAAAATTAAAGAGAAAAAAAATAGGGGGAAGAAAAACGATCTGCACGGTCTGATGCCTCGGAAATCTTAAAAGCGGTTAATTATCGAGAAATATATATATCAAATGATGATAATCTGATAAGTAACCTACTATTAAATATACTAAGTGAAATTGCGAAAACACATTTAATATTTTTATCGCGAATCATATATGTGCGAGATATCAAGTGGCGCGTGTGTTTGAAGGAGATAATTATGTCTTTTACATCGCGTGACTGTATCTGAATATCGCGGCTTTCCTTATTGTTTTTCAGCGATCCATAATTATGTACAGGCTTTCTTCTCTGTTTACCGATCACCCGATGGAGCCCAATAGTCGTGCAGCAGCTGCATATACGTATAATCATTTATCACGCGGTAGGAAAGCAGTCGTTTCATTTTTAGTGACAGACGCTTCTGCTCTTTTGTTATTTTTATACAGCATACTGCTTGTTAGTAACCGTTAACAGAGGACGATTACATTATCGATATATTTGCAATGCATGCCTGTTGATAGGTTGCGTTTTCACTTTGGACATGATGGCGATATAATCGAACAATTCATTCGTCACATTATATTTAAGAGATTTGCGATTGATCCATTTATACTTTTCCGCGGTTAATCTTAAATCAACAAATGCGCGAGCAACTTGCCCTAGAGAAAGAGAGAGAAAAAGAGCAGATGTTAAATATTTATGAGTGTAGCGATTTAATCAAATGCCAGTTACACTCGTTTCGAAATGTAGCATTAATACGGTATATAAGAAATTATGATTCACAGTGATCGGAAATCCAGTTATCACTCTCTTTCTCTTGCTTTATATATTTAACATGGAAAAAATGCTGACTTCTCCTATATTAACCAAGATTTTGAAGTGTGCTATCACTAATCTTATCATACGTTCCATTTACGAACAGGTAATTTATATGTAATGTGTTTGACCGACACTCTAAACTCTTATATTTTTAAAATAATTGCTTCAATAAATTTTTTTTTATGTACTTTATTATTAAAAATGTTTTCAAAAATTTTTTTTATTTAAATATTTTGTTTCTCTAATTTAAGCATTTTATGTACCAAAAAGCTATGAAAATATATTCAAATCAAATATATTCAATATACAAATATATTCAATACAAATATGGTATATTCAAATCACATAAAGCAATATATAATTAATATTTCAAAAACACAATTATTCCGCGTCATTAAATCTCTATTCTTTTAAATACATATTTAATAAAAAAAATTCGATAAAATTTCTTTTATAAGTACACATTTTTTTATAAATTATGAAAGATATTATATAACTAATTCTTATACAAATAATTGTTAAAAAATGTTAATAATTTTTAAATAATGCTGAAATTTTTTTTACAATTATAAATTATCTTATGATTGCTTCGCCGTTGTCTGATGCCTCTCCGCGCCTCTTCTTCTTCTATTGTTTGTTCTTCGCTCCTTCACGGCACTCATTCATTCACTCGCGAAAACGTCATTAATTACGATCACGTGTGTATTTATCATGAGAATACGATTGCGCGACATGTTCCGACGCGTATTAATCGCACATTGCGTACTTTATTTTACATTGCGAGAGTAAAACTCACACGGTTAAAATCACTATATGCTCCAATCGGCACTGAAATAATCGCGCATACCAAATTCACACAATGCCATCTCTGTTACTAATGAATATACGTACGCATTTTATCTTAATTTTATAATTTCGAATTGTATAATATAATAATTTCGGGATCTATATTATGACAATATACGATAAATACGTCGCGCTGTCGGATTTTTGCGTATAATGCATTTTTATTTACATGGTATAGAATAGTCTCGTGGACATTCTTGTAACAAGATTCGAGAAAATACCGGTGTTTCATAGTATTATTTCTGAAATTGTATTGATATTATAATTAGAAATAGGAAAATTATCCTAAAATGCGTGCGTATATTTGTTAGCAATAGAAATAACATTGGTGTCTTATAATTTTTTAGCGTCGAATGAATCGTAGTAACCGTGATTTTTGCGTTTTCTCGTCGCAATGTAAAATAAAATGTGCGTCATGTATGATTAACATCAGAATGTAAAGTGTCGCGCGATGGTAATTAATGTTTTTGCAAGTATCATGTGAGTGTTATGAAGGAGCAGCAAAAGGATATAAATAAGAAAAAAGGAAAAGGCCCGGAAAGAGGCATCTGATGACGACGAAGCAATCATTAGGTGTAATTTGTAATTTTAATTAATTTAATTTATTATTTCTTATTTGTGCAATTAACTGCTTATCATCGCGGTAGCAATTTGCATCGTTGTATGTATTGCTGTACTATTAATGCATAAAACATTCTAAGTATATTATTTTAAAATATATACTTAAATATTTAAAAAATATTTGTAATTAATTCTTACACACACACATAGATTTACACAAAATATTACAACATTGTTGGAGATTCCTTAATAAAATTATTTATATATAATGTTATTTTTATGTATCTTATTTTCTATATAAAACAATATATTATATAAATATGTTTTTCAAAAACTTTACAATTTTTTTATTAAATTTATTTGTTTAAAAAATGAAAACTAAAAACTTAATTATACGGAGTGAATAGACATTTATCAAAATATTACTTTGTGTATAATTTGATATATTTTTCTAATTTGATATATTTTTCTATTTTGCAGATCAACACTGTGTTCTTTACAATTTTGCCTTTGTACATCGTATCGGTGAGTCTAAAATTATTATTTATTATTTATTACTTCTTTAATCATTCTTCGTATTTTGACATAACAGACATATTGTATCACAGAAATCAGTGATTCTCTTATATATCTCACAATATCTCAGATTATAGGATTCTCTTATTTTAAATAATATTTTGAGATAGAAGCTCTTAATTTCTGGCTATACATTTAGACGATCGCCTATCTATGATTAACCAATTGCATCGCACATGCGGACAATTTATCGTCTATTAGTCTAGTGCTTAATAATAAAATAATTATTGCCTCGCTTATTAAATTATTAAGAACGAGAATGCTTTTTGTGTCATGTTGTATATAAGTTCTTAATACTAGCCGCGCGTTCTTCTTGCCTTTTGTGCACCCAAATCGTGATTTACGATCCGTAAATCCGTCAGAAGCATTTTAGACTGGTCGTTCAGTTTCTCAATAACCAATCTTTCGCTTCCGTTTGGTACGAGAAGGAAACTTTATGATCCTTTGCTTCGCGTACGGAATGTTTAATCTTAGATTTCTCGCGTCTTAGAGATCCTAGAGAGAGGAAGCTTTCGCAATAACTGTATTCTTATATACATAACTCTCGTTGCACGACGAACCCCCGGCATATCATAAAACCGAGATGATCGAACGTAATTCGGACTTTTCGCGAAACTTGCATCGAGTTGTTGACGTCGTCGCAGAAATAAAAGAATGCTTAATCGCATCATAATATTCTTAAGGATTTAATCAGACATGCCTCGCCGGATGATAATTAAACAGAGACATTTCGCGGTTGTTACGAGCGATAATTCAGCGGCACAAGCTGCTATATTTTCCCCCTTTGATTTTCAACGACTGATATTGCGCATATTTAAATTTTTTTGGCAAAAAGGGTACAGGGATGGAAGCGATAACGTGTAAAACAGTATTAATTATTAAGATATCGATATTTATAAATAATCTCATTGTCCATACATTTATAACATAAAAATAATGGATTAATTTATAGATTTTTTTTAATAAAAAAAATGATTTTAGATATTACATGAAGTTATTATGATCTTAGAGAGCAATTGTTATATATCTCCTTTGTATCTTTTTTTGATGCTTCTGCATGTTGAAAAAAAACTGTCGTTCTTAATGAAAATAATTAATAAATATGTAAATGCGTGTAAGTATATGCACAATCATAGCTTATCGAAATTATATTTTTCTCTAAAATTTTGCCAACAAAAAATTCGTTTGAAATTCGCTAAACAAACATTACAATGAGATAAAAATGATAGCTATATCTATATTTTTGACAGAGATACAAAAAATGAAGAATACAAAATATGAAAACTTTGAAAGGAGATATAAGACGTAGCTCTTTTTCTTGCTCTGCATATTTTGCATATTACTCGAACGAGCTGCGTATAATTAATGTCCTCCTTTGCCCCGCCTGTGCGTCGACTCGCGGCGCAGCAGCATGCGATGCATCATGCGGCGCAACGAGGAATGCTCGTACGTCAAATGTGATATATTCACGATGCTCCGATTTAAAACTGTTTACGACGTCGACGTAACACACGCTCTCGGCGACCCTTGTTGCGCACAAAACACCTCGTGGTTTTCGTGACGTAGCGGTCGAGCCTCGCGGCTTATAAATGCAAGAGTGTCAGTTATCCCGCGTGATTTAAAGAGTCGCCTCTACATTACACATCGGAGAGGAAACGATGTGCGTGTGCGTTGGGCCGGGTAGAAAATTTCTTTCGAAATTTTCTCACTCTGTTGCGAGAGAAATCTCTGTAGGAGACGGCGCGGTATCGCGATTCAAACGGTAGCCGGTGTATTACAGCGATTAATTGCTCGCCGTTAGAACAATTGAGCAATTAACGGAGCGTTAAAAGTTAATCGTCAAATGCAACGTAAAGGGAACATGCTGGAGGAGATAATAGCTCGGTGTGTGTATGTATATTTAACTCTGAAAGTTAAGAGCGCGCGCTTGTTCCCCAGCTCACACGAGCTCGTGAATCCTCTTCTAGTACGAAAAAGACTGCGCGAACCACGCCAGCTCGGCGTCGTTCACTATTGCATACCGAGAAAGTGTTACGGCACCTTGTATGAGCGACCTTGGCACGATGTAGACGCACGTCGGGACGTCTCGCAAATTGCCGGAAATTTCCGTGGGAAACTATTCCGTTCGGCGGCGCGCACATTGTACGCTGCAATAGTGTGTTCGGCGTGTGTAATAGTACGCGCATAATAAGCGAGAGACGGCGATCAACCGGCGAGTTGACGACTATACATGTATGTACACAATCCCGCACTTGGCGGAGCTCTGCCAATCACGTTTTCGATCGCGGACAACCGCGATTGTGTGCACGATCGGAAACGACTTTACATAGTCCAGTGGGATATAATACACGTACAGAGAGTTATAATATATTACAAGTTCTTTTTCAATGGTAATCAAAATATATTAGGCATGCGATAACATAATTCAACGTGATATGGAAAAATAATTCGAAAAAAAGAATAATTATGTTTGAATAAAAAAGTTTTTTTAATGTAAAAGAACCATATAATATGATTAAAAACAATCTTTTAATCTCTCAAATTTTTCAAAATTTTATCGCGATGGAGAAAAAATCTAATTACATTCTCTTGCTTGTAGATTGAAGAAAAGTATTGTTTTCTTAAATTGTTTAATTAATTAATACCGAGAAGTTTTTCCCCGACAGGAAACGAGACTTACGACAACTGTCTAGTGTCTAATACTCGCACAGCGACACAGAGCACATAATTATACGGCTGCGGTTTAGAAATAATTTAAATTCCGCCTCGCACGTCGTCGAGTCTAAAGCTCCGATTATTTGTTGCTCGCGGCAGGTGTATAAGGGGGAACGTTTTCCCCCGATATGTTTTCATCCACCCCCATGAAATAACCGGATATTTCCCGTGTCGGTACGTATACGTCACCGTAGGAAACGAACGGTCGCGGATACGAATTAACGTCGAGTAATGGCAGGGCGTGCAACAAGTGCGACGTTATGGGGTATCAGGTGTATGTGCCCTGGAAATACGGGCGTGCGTTAAAAGCGCGACCGTTGGTGAGAGAGATCGGCCTTCAGCACGTGACCGAGACTCCGCCAGATGGGCAGCCTATGGAGGAATGACACCTCGTTTTTTTTTCTTTCTTTCGAGTAATCGTTTCGAAAGAGATACCTCGGTCGCGTGCGCGAAATTGCGGGACTCTTGGCGGCCGACCAGAATACCTTTCAAAGAAATAAGTCTTCGGTAAAAGTCTTCTCTTAACGATCTAGCCGTTAATCCGCGGAAAAAAATTTATCTCGCGCACGAAACAGGGTTTTCGAAAAAAAGGGGCTTCGAGAGAAACAATCTCGCGTCAATTTGTCAATCTTCGCGCCTGATCATCGCCTTCCTCCGCAGAGAGATATCCTTTTGGAAACGCGTTTCTCCGCACACGCGTTAACAAGGCAATTAAGCCGTGGCCCGCAAATTACTCGGTGCACGCTCTAATTCGGCCAACCGAATACGGCGAGGCGGAGAGAGAACCGGAAGCATCAGGATGCAATAATGCAAAGGCGGCGAACTCGACTCGCGGAATGGAAAACGGTGTATTTGGCCGAATAGACTTTTCTCTCTCTCATTCTCTTTTTTTTTTTTTTAAATATCGGCGGTGCTCTTTAACAATTTAAATCATGGAGGAGTATCGCTCGAGAAATATCGGTGCTAAGCGGTATCGGTGGCCGTTTCTACTACATGCTATCACAGGTGGAAGGCATACGGTCTTCGTGAAGGCACGCGAATGAGGTCTACTCGGTCGATCGGGTATCGCGAGTTGCGCGGCATGCAAGAGGGCGGATCGAGATTTATCTAGCAAATAACCTCCTGTTGCTCGCGCGTCCGTATACCATGTGTGGCAAAAGTTTCCAGACGGCGATCATACGCACCGAGAAATGGCCGATCGATTACTCTCGTCATCGTATATTAGAAACAGCGACAATGATTCGCGAATATATAGGCACGTTTCGATGCATTGATCGTATGCACCCCAAAAAGAGTGGACTATTTTAATAATGTAAAACATGTTGTGCAACTCTCAACTCTTTCCTCTCCTATTTCGTGATTTAATCAGCGCTCCATTAATTTTCTAGGCAATGTGTCATTCTTGTGAATTGTGAGTCAATAATGATGACATTCCAATTATTATCGAATATGATATATCAGATGGCGTTCGTCGAGAAAGTGACTTCTCGTTTGTTGAGAGTTATGGCCGCGACTTGGCCGCTATCGATCACGCGCGATTTATTTCATGTTCGTTACGCATTACCGTTAGCGGTATAAATAATAAGGAGATATAGCAAGAGCCGTAATGACAGCGAGAACTGACGGAAGAGAGACGTTTGTTGAAGGAAAATATAGTGATGCGCATTTCAAATGCAAATTTTTGAAAATAATGAAAGTTTGAGTATAGAATTTCGTTTATAGATTAAATAAAATAATATGTGGAAATTTATATTTTTTTCGTGAAGATGATAGGTGCAAATAAATATATGATAATATAAAATATTTTAAAAATGTAACATGAAATATTTATTTATAATTTATAAAATCAATTAAATTAAATAGATTTATTATTAATAATTATTGATCATATATATTAATTTTAAATAGTACAGAAGAAATAAACACATGTATCTATTTTTTCAAGTATTGTTTCTCAAATGCCTAACTCTGAAGGAGAAAGGATCGAATAATTAGCATTGTCGGTTATGTGATCTTGTATTTATCACTGGTATTCCGAAGGTTGTAAAGTCTAGTCTTAAATCTGAGAACCTTCGAGGGGAGAATGATGACGAATACGCGTGTAAAAAATTCTCACGGTGCGTCAAGATGAACTAATTGGAGTTGTATGTCGCGATAGCACTTTCGGTTAAATAGAGCGTAGTGCTCTTGGTAGTTGATATATCAACTCCCGAAAGATGTCCGCGTAGAATGAC